GGCCATGTACCTCCTCATCCAAGGGCCACTATTTCACATGTACTATTATAAATACTTCCCTTATGTAACATTAAAATTGTAATGCAATAATCAATACAAGAAATCATGCTTTACTCAACTCTCTATCTCTCTTATTATCTTACAACACAAACGAGTTTATACAAATTTGGATATACGTTTACAAACATCGATTGGTAATTATTGTACAATCGGTCAACGAACATCCCGCTGGATTCCTAACGTTCTTGTCCCACGTCGTTGAGCTACTCCCACGCCCTCGATCCGTCCGTTAAAGACCGTCCACGTGTCTTAGCGTGTTGGACTTTCGCTCACGTGTGCGCGGGTGGGTTCGACATTTGTTGACAATATTTTTTGGGGTCAACAAACAGTTTTCCCATTAAGTAGTATAGCTCATTCCTTTTAGGCCCCTTCATAACTACAAGAGATCCTTTCAAGATTTTCAAAGTGTTATTTTCATATTTAAATGTATGTCCCTCATCTTCAAGAATCCTCAATGAAATGAGGTTTCTTTTTAGATTTGGGACATCTCTCACATTTTTAATCTGCCTAACACTTCTATCATACATTTTGATTGAAATGTCACCAATTCCAAGAACATTTTGTAAATTGCTGTCACCCATATATACTCTCCTGGGTTCTATCTCCTTGTAGTTATGAAACCAAGATTTATTCGAACATATATGAAATGTACATCCAAAATCTAAAATCCAATCAATTTTTGTTTCTTCATTTGTCACAGTCATAACAAAAAGGACGTCAAGTTCAGAACGCACAGCAGCATTATTTAACTCAATGTTGCTGGATTCTTTTAGCTTCTTCTTTAACTCAAAGCAATCTCTTTTGAAATGTCCAAATTTTCCACAGCGATAGCATTTTTTTATTGCTTTTATCTCTTGATTTAGATCTGGTTTTGGATTTGTACTTAAATCATTTATCTTGTGAATTAGTTTCCCTCTTTTCTTTCTTCCTCTCACAGATAAACTCTCATCTCTTAAGTTTAGTTTACATTCTTTCTTAATTTCCAATTCCCTAGATCTTATGGCATTAGTTACGGTTGATTGTGTTAAAGCATAACTTGAGTATTTTATAGCATTTATGGTATCCTTATAAGAATCAGGTAAAGAGTTTAGAAGGATCACTGTAAGATCCTCATCTTCAAATTTTTTATCATTATGAGCAAGACTCTTCACCAGTATGCTAAAATCACTCAAATTGGTTTCAAGGTCTTCCCGATAATCCATTTTAAAACTGAACAGTTTTTCCAGGAGATAAATTTTATTTGGTAAAGTCTTGGTCAAGGACAAGTTATCTAAAGCTGTCTATAAATCTCTAGCAGTTTTGGATTCCTCTACTTGCCTTACTATATTATCAGATAAGTGCAGGATAATCGAGCTATAAGCTATTTCATTCTCATCAGGTTTGGCTTTAAGTTCATCAGGATATTTAACAGGGTCGTCCAGGGCTTTAGCAACCCTTTTTGGACCAATATGGCCCTCATTTTTTGCTTCCAGATTGAGTAAGCCCCCTTTCCATTTAATTGTGATAATTTGACCTTCGAATCCACCATAGGTTCTGTAAAAGGGTGGTGACTATTGGAAGCCATGACAGACACCTCCATATATGATTACCAAAAAACCAAGAAACTTCCTAACTTATTTAAAGGAATGCAGATCACTAAATGAAAAATAATTATCTTAACTTGCACAACTGAAGCAATAAACACAAGCAGACAACTTGTTGGGAATTCAAAGAATTACACAACAAATATAAAGAATTTTGTATAATATCTAATCATGCTCCTATTGTCAGATTAATTATCAATTCAGAATGTACAATGTCAGTAATTAATCCACATAACAATAGACATGCAATTTTATGCACCAAAATTATACAGGTTTTTATTAATGGTAAGATCTCACCCACAGCACCGTTGAACAATAGTGCAATCAAAAGATTTTCAAAGATCACCCTATCACCTACCAAAATTGGAACCGGTCAAGGGCTAGCCAATCTTTAGTTCTTAATCTACACACTTAACAGAAAAATTAGTCTCCTTAAATGTCTGTGCAGATCTTTAAGATCTAGACAGAATAATAAAATCTCAAGAAATGAAAAAAACCTAATAATGTAGATCAAAAATAAATAAATAAATATGTGCAACAGTTTACTTTCCCCCACTCACAGAGTATCATCAGGGCAAGGTATATCACACAGATGCCTAGAAAATCGAGCTCTGATACCAGATTTGTTAGGATAATCGACCCAAAACCCACAAGCAATCGTAATATAGTAAAAATAAAGCAAGAGCAGAAATCGAACACAAAGATTGTTCACCCAATTCAAACCAAAAATGGCCTAATTTGGGGAGCTCAGAGGTAAGCTCGTCACGAGCAAGAAATCTTCAAGAAAGTGTACAACCAGTTGAGAAAAATCAAATCAGACCCACTAAATGGTCATTGATCCACAAAGATCTCTCAATAAACCGAACCTAGCCCACAAGACTAGACAAAACCTTGCCAATAACACAATACCAGCCACAATCAAGGCCTAAAACACTATACCAACGTTCTACCATCATCAAATAACTATAAGATTATTACAAAAACACCAAAGTTCTCCAAATCTAAGAAGAAAAGAAGAAGCGGAGGCGAGAGAACCAGAGAGGGAGAAAACCCAAGAGACAATTTCATCCAAAAGAGAGTGACCAACTGATTGATTTCCACCAACCCTCAAAAGTCTTCAAGGCATTAATTATGGAAGAATAAATCTCAGCCTTAGGATTAGATCAACGGTCTACAATAGCCAAGAGAAAGCGCAACTCAAGTGACCACTTATTAAGCAATGCTAAAGTGCCAACTGTCCATAGGAATACAAGTGGGAAAAATCGCATTTTCACTTATGAAAGTGTGGTTTGAGAAATACGACTCCACAATAGCTCTTTGCAGTTTATATGTGTCTTTTGGATATTGCCTTTCCATGGCTCTCTCTTTGAGATCATTTTGGAAACAAATAAGAGCACCGATGCACGGTTAAATAGAGACGTCCATGGTTATCTCTCCGTTTGTTTTTCTTAAAGGTTAATATCTAAGATAACGAAAAAACATTCTCTTTAGTCATAATAATTCATTTGCTCGACAAGAAGGTTTTCGTGAATCCAGACATCAATCATTTTTTCATAGGATGATTTTTCTTATCACTCGGTCTTTCTTTTTTTTTTTTTCATTTTTTGGGATCAATATTGTATCTTGCTGCTGATGTATGCAACCATCGTTTCCTGCTAATCTGCTTCACCATTACTAGTTATTCCGGCAATCTTTGTTCTACTTCATGTAAAATGAGATCATTACTGACGGTGGTACTACAAAGAAAAAATAGAAAACCAACAATTTTGTTTAAAAGAATTTATTAAAAATAAATATTAGTTGATGAATTTAGAGTGATATATTTTTACTTAATTTTATATGTCTATTTAAGTAAATTTACATAAGAATAAAAATATAATAAAATTTTCTTTTTAAGAGTGGATATATTTATAAATTTTGTGCATGTAAACAGTGACTCCCAAGTCCCAATGTAAAATACCAAAAATAATTGACGAGCCGCGAGCTAAGTCGACAAGCTCGTGATGAGAGCCAAGTTGAGCAATTCTGCTTGTCCTATTTAACACTTCTACGTACATTTGGACCAATTACCGAGTATTTTCATTTGCAACCAGAGTCTAATAATAAATTCAAAACATATAATAATTTAATTTTGTGTCACATTTTCCTTTTCATTAAATTCTAAATTCAATTGTTAAAAGAAATAAAACGAGTTTATGAACTCAAAAATTTTGAAAAATAAATTTGTATCTCAACGGATACTCAAGTTTTGTTCAAAGAGAAGATTTGATTCTTCACAATTGTATCCTTGTAGGCTTAGCAAAACACACACTAATGTGTAATTATTGGACAAATTGGGGCTGATTTATATTTGAATTTTCACAAATTTAGTTCTATTTCAGCACGAAATCAATAATCAAACATATCATTTAGCAGTCTAATCGATTATTTGCCTAAGACAGCGTGACCTTTCATTTAAAATATGCAATTTGTGGCCAACACTGATTTTGCCTCTCTAGCAGCAGCATAGGTACCCTAAAACTTGCAAATAGTGGACCAAATGGGTGAGGTTGATTATAATAGGCATGAATACACACGTGAACATCGATCGAGTTTCTCTTTTTTCTATCTATTTTTATTGATCATCAAAATTCGATCGACCCTTCATTGTCAAAACAGAGAGTGACGATTATCGCCAAGATCAGTGATCATTATTTTAACCCCAATTAATCGATGGCCTAAGCTATATGCCTTTGGCCAAGAAGAATGTTCTTTTACTAAAAGAATCTTCTGTGATAATTAACTCAACTTTTCACCTAACTAATCATACATTTTGTTCAAATACTACAAATTTTTAGAAGCCTTCCATAGTGCATAATAGTACAACTCCAACAATTTGTAAACAAAAAAGAACTTCTTACATTTTTAGATTAAACCCTATTTGGTTAAGATTTTTTGAGAATAATTTTGTGAAAGTATTTTTTTATTTTTTATTTTTTTGAATGTATGTTTAAAAGTAGAGGAAGAATATGAGTTCAAGTGTAAAACTATTTTATTGGAAAAATGTATGATTAAAAATAAGTTTGAAAAAAAAATTTAAAAATAGTAACCAAGAAGGAGCTGATCGTCTGCTTTTAAAGTTATATAAAAATAAATAAAAGAGGTTCTAAAAATTAAAATTAACAAATTTATTAGAAAAAGGTCATGAATTATTTATTTGAATTTACGCAACGTATATACAGTTCCATGATTAAAAATCATAGTTAGACAAGTAACATGTTGTGGGAACAACAGCTATGACCATCATAAAATAAGAACATGGGACTTTTTGAAAAACCAAGCAACCAAAATTCCCTCATCAATTGAACCATGACTCAAGAAAGCGTTTTTTCATTTTTGATTTTTACTGGGTAAAATCCACAATTGGGTTGATTTGTGAGTTATTATTTAGGTAAAAATGCAGCGATGGAGATTGCCTCGGATTGTGGACCAAAAACTGTCAACTTCCCAGATGCTAGCTTTAGCAACTGACGACGAACCCCACCGCCCCATTGCTTCGAATCAATTCGTCCGCAGTGCGTCAATCCTCCGCAATACCATTTCAGTTTCTCTCACTCGATCTTTGCCTTCAAAAGGAAGTCCCATTTTGCAAAATTTTCAAATGGGCACATCCTCGAATCCACTCTTTGTTTCATCTACTCTTTTGTCGAATTCTGGCTGGGTTTTTGTACCTTTTTATTTTTAGACAATTGGGTTCCAGCATTCCATTCCCATGAAGGCTGAGACTAGAGGGATCATTAGACTAAAATGTTCTGTCAAGAACTACGATTGGGGGAAGATTGGGAAGGAATCGAGTGTGGCGAGACTTTACGGGAAGAACAGCGGGGTGGAAACTCATGATGATAAGCCTTACGCCGAGTTCTGGGTTGGGACTCACGACTCTGGGCCCTCCTACGCTGTCGCCGTTGGCTACAAGGAGAATTGGATTTTGCGGAACGGTAATGGGGCTCTAAAGAAAGAGAACGATGACAATCATTATAATTTGGTGAGATTGAAGGACTGGATTGAACAAAACCCTAGAGTTCTTGGTGATAAGGTTTGGGAAAAGTGGGGTTCCAATCTCCCCTTTCTCTTCAAGGTACTATTTTTATCTTAAATTATGTTGTGTTTATATTTTGTCGGAAGTTTGCAGTTGTAAAGGTGGGATTAGAGAGAAAAAGTGTTATGATTCTTCTTTCCTCCTTTTTTGGGTTGAGGAATCTATCATTGATCCTTTTATGTTTAGTTTTTCTAGTTGCTTTTGATAGGCTTTTAATGAATATCCCTGAGGAGTTAATAAGGTATTTTAAATTATCTTCCGCTACAGTTCTCTGATATTTGAGATTTATGATACTCTGTGAGTATTAAAAGTACAAAAAATATGTACCTTATAACCCAGTATCATTTTGAGATTTTTTCATTATCCAATGAAAAATTAAGAAATAGTTTTCCTCATGGGAATTTTTAGGTTTGTTACCCAAAATACAAGTAGTGTAGTGTACCTTGGATTTCAGACTAATATAAAAATTTGAAATTTCTCAGCTCTATTAGCCTGCAGGATTAAGTGGTTATTCGTTTTTTTTTTTTTTTAATAACCGGTATTTTTTTAGGTACTTTCAGTGGCAAAAGCATTGTCAATACAGGCTCATCCAGATAGGGATTTGGCAGCAGTACTGCATGAGCAACATCCAGATGTGTACAAGGATGGCAATCACAAGCCTGAGATGGCTTTGGCGCTGACGGAATTTGGGGCTCTATGCGGTTTTATCAGTCTTGAGGTAGTACGCTTATCTTATAGTCTTGGGATGAATATTTTGAGCGGGTTTTCTTTGTTTCATAATTAAAAATAATGCCTTTGTAAAACCTTAATATGTGTTTGGAATGAATTTTTCATTATCCATATGTAGAACTAATGTCTTCATTGTGGTGTAGTAGAGAGTCAGAATAAGTCAGCAACTATATCTTTGCAGATAGCAGACTGCTTCAGCAGTAAATCTGTTGGATTGAATTGAAGGGAAATTACTTGTCTTGTGAAGGTTTCTATATGACTTGAATATATTTTAGGGGGTCTTTTTGTATTGAATAGGTTAACTTTGACATGCAATTGGAAGATGGTTGTGGAGATTGTTATATTGAGAAACTATTTTGTCTTTTGAATATCAGGATGTCTTAAGAACATTCTGAATCTGAATCCTCAAAGCTTATCTTTTACAACGAAGATTGTTGTGACCTGATGATCGAATTTTCTTAATTTAATGATTGTTGAATCTCGGTATGTACCTCACTAATGAGATCTTGTTGATTTTAATGCTCAGAACATCCACCAATCAAAGTGGTGTGGTTTAGGTGGTTTGTTGGACAAATGTGTCATATGTTTTGTGTAGACAAGTTCGACTGATATGATTAGCTACTCAATGATGTCAGTTAAATAACTGCTTTTAAAAAGGATTAGCATTTATATAATTTTTGTCCCTTTTGTCTATGTGGCTATCGTTATTCCTTAATAAACTCTAAAGGATAAGATCAAGGAAAGCAAAATAAAAATGAGAACTTGAGAAGCTAATTTTGAAAAGGACGTGATCCATTTCAGTGCAAAGGGAAATTACTAATTTTGTGATCAATTTTATCAAGCAGGGGTGAAGTTGATGGATTCTAGAAAGATACGGAATTACATCAATTATCGAGAGGATTTTTTTATGACATCCTAAAATTTGTGGATGATGAATGGTCTGTATTGTGTCACATGTAACTTGTAAGTGCACCTAGATTTCATGAGGTCTATAGACAGGTCTGCTGCTCCAAGTTCAGCATAGAATTTCTAATGGACCTTTAGTGAGGTGTATCGTCTTGCCATATATATCCTCCTATTATAAGGTCATAACTCATTTGGAAATATATATAGAGTAGATCTCTTAGTGGAATTATAGGATTAAACTAAATTGATCGAGGTAAAGGTGAATCTTATACCCAGGATGATGGATTGGACCCATAGCTCATGTCTCATGTTGTTTAATTTATGACTTCTTGGAATTCATGCAATTTACATGTAAGTTGTTATGTTTGTTTATAGGAGCTTAAGGATGTTGTTCAAAATGTACCTGAGATTGTAGAGGTGGTTGGTGGTGCACATACAGCTCGGGTATTACACATTGATGAAGAGGACAGGGAAGTGGAAGCCAAAGAGGTCTTGCAATCTATATTTACGGAACTCATGTCAGCCAGCAAGGTCACAATTTCCCAAGTAATCTCCAAGATGATAACTCGATTGAATGCAAAACGTGAGGTATACAAGAATTCTTTCCTTCCTGAATTTACAATTATTTTACTTGTCAATGCTTTATTTTGTCATCAGTTAGGATGCATTCATTTTTTAGCTCATTGTGGTATGATCAATATACTTCTTTTTTCATCTCTTATTCACTGAATGCATCAAGATAGTTGCCCACAACTACTTCAGTTGCATCAAGTACCAAGAAGTTTGCTTCGGATTGGTAAAGGAAAATTTTCCTTAGTGGCTGTTCATATTGTTTGAATGGATGGGAAAGACA